AATTATCACTTTTTTCATATTAATAGAAGGTTTGTGCTGGTAGTTAAACTTCATGCAAACAATTTTGTTTCATGTTGTCTTTGTGTGATTGGATTTTTTACATGTTAGAGTTGACAAATCACATTGGCCATCTGGCTTGAAGAAAATAAAAAACACTTTTGAACTACCAAAGTTCCTTACTAGTAATATTGCAGGTTCGTGGCCTACCTTGTGCACATAATTTCCATGTTGAATGTATTGATGAGTGGCTTCGACTGAATGTGAAATGTCCACGGTGTCGCTGCTCAGTCTTCCCTAATCTTGACCTTAGTGCCTTATCTAATCTCCGTGCTGATTTGGAAAGATCTCCTGCCACTGTAACAACCAACCATTATGTGAGAACTGTGCCTTCCAGCCACAGCTATCTGTTGAGAATGCAGGGTCTGCTGTGGCCTGTCCAATCTGGGAATGCTGGGGATCCCACTAATGCAGATTTTGATGTGGAAGCTGCTGATAATGGAACTGCACACATGGCAACTGGGGAACGAACAGGTATGGAATCAGTTTCATCAGATGGACGTGTGCTTGGGGGTCAGTCCACCCAAACTCATCACTAGTCTTTTTTTTTTTTTTTGGATTTACAACATATTAACCCTGTGCCGAGAAACCTAGGTTCCACTGAATCTCACTTTAATGAAAACGCCCTGGGCTGTTTTATATATAATACAGAGAAAAGCTAATTGATGTGTGTTCATGCTCGCTGTCTTAACTGCTGTGTTGCTACATGCTGTGACAGAAAAGAAACCCCATTCACCAATTCATATGGGGAGTTCTGGACACACAAAAAAAAAACTCAGTAATGATACTGTTGCCTTTTTGTTAATGGGAATGGAGCTTGAATTTGCCTTGAAAAGTTGTATCTGTCTCTCTACCAGGTGAACAAAAAATTTCATTTTATTTGAGGCAAAAGTAATATTGCGTGGTCCTTACTGTATAAATATTCAAGTAAAGTGCATGGTTAAGTCAAGATTGTATGCTGAACTTTCAGGCCGGGTAGCTGAGATCAAGAGATCATAATAACATAATCATTCATATGCCTTTAATTATTTTTCTAGCCACTCATTTGATTTGAGTGCAGACAATTATGCGTTCTGTACTTTGTTTGAACTTGTAAAGTCTCCCCATGCTTGGATTCGAACCAGAAAAGATTTGGGACCTATATCCCTTTAATCACAGCCTGCAATATTGCTGCAACTAGCTATTTTCAAGCACTGGAGTTGAAATTATTTTATGGCCACCAGTTTCTGTATGCTTCTTTTGATGTCAAAGTCACGATTACCTCATCAAATTTGTTATTTCCACTTGTGTCCATGGAATTACTGTTCACTGGGAAATTCGATGCTCTACCTTGCGAAATGTTAATTATAATTTAGTCTTTGCAATTTATCGAAAAAAATTAATTAATTCCTACAATATAAAAAATAATTACATGGTTCCTTGATTAATGTTGATCATGCTTACTAACTTTTAAACTTTTTTTCTATTTTTAAAATGAAAAATCAAAATGAATTGAAAAAAAAAACATGAAATGGATGAAAATTATCTATTTATAAATGAATAAATAACAGTTTCTGAAATCACAAAGAGTGGTTAATTGTCTTAGCTAAATCACGAGGACTAAGTTGTAATCAACTCTTTGGCAGATGATGCAAGTAATGGTTTCATTTAGCAATGGGGTATAGCGGTGTTGTGTTTTCAATATTCAATTATTCAAAGTACCATTCTAAGAAGTATTGTTTTTTATTCATCAAGGTATTTTAGTAATTTTAATATGTTGATATTAAAAATAATTTTTAAAAAGTAAAAAAAAATATATATTCTAATATATTTTTAAATAAAAAATATTTTAAAAAAATAACTGAAAATATTCTTTCAGAACACCGAACAACTAATTTTTGAATAGCTAAGGACTTCCACTCAAAATATGCAATGTCAAACTCTTTAAAGAACATCTTACGTGGAAACATTCCTCCTCGAGCTATTGAACACTAATCTCAAGCATATTATTCCATACCATGAAAACAACATCATTAAAGGTGATCTCATTAACTGGCCTACAATTAATGATTTGCCAACCATGTTGCCAATTTAAGTTTAGGCTTATAGTATGCATGTTGTTTAAAGTATTTTTATTTAGAAATATATTAAAATAATTTTTTTATTTTTTAAAATTATTTTTAAAATTAGTACATTAAAACAATTTGAAATATATAAAAAAATTAGCAAATTTTTTTTGAATTATTTGAAAAATATGTTGAACCGTATTTTCAAATAATCCTTAAAGAAACAAATCACAAGATCTATTTCAAGATCCTTATTACATAAAAGAACAAGATATCTTTCAAATCTCCAACGAGAAAGTTGATGAGGAGAGCTCATTCCATCATATAAGATGTTGTTGTTTAGAATCAAAAAAATTTTATTGTAATTGAATTCACTTATAATATTTAATTTGACTTCATTTGATAAAAAAGATGAATTTACATATTATTTGGAATAAATATAATTTAATTCATTTTATTTTTTATATTACCATCATTATCTTCATTTTATTCCTTCAAATATTCCTGAAAAAAGGACAAGTAGATGAGTTTTTTAGAGAAACAAATTTTAAAATTTAATTTCTCCTTTTTAATGTAGTAAATCAAAAGGGTTGGTCTCTAATTTATTTTTATATTATTTTGAAAAATTAAATCTCATTCGAAACTCAATTCTTGGTACTCAAAATGATTCTAAACATGAGATTTCATTAAAACCTCTTAAGTGAATTCAATTCAAAGAATTCCAAATATGTCGGCAAGCATTATGCTCTTACTAGTCATACAAGATTAAAAAAAAAATCTTAATTATTATATATTTAAAAAAAATAGTAATTTCATAGAATTATGATTGCTAAATATTTTTTATTACAAATAACAAGGATGTAAAATTAATTATATATAATATGAAAAAATACATTATTTTTCTCATCTATATTTCTAAAATGACACATAACAAAATAAACTAAAACAAAGGGGTGGAAACCATAGAGTCAATTACTATAACTCTTGATTCAATGACACTATAAATTAAAATAGTAAAAACATAAATTTGCCCCTGTCAACACGAAAAGTTGCCCTGGATGTCAGGGCTAATGAGGTCTTTTTATCTTTTTATTTTAGGTTTTCAATTATAAATGCAAAGCCCTCGATGTTAGGGCTAGTGAGATCTTTTTTATTTTATTTTATTATGATGCCCTTGTAGTGAAGAAAACATTAACTTTCATCCTAGGTCATTTTAGTCATTTCACTTTTTTTTTTTTTTATAATTAAGTGGGTTAAAGGAAAGATCAATACTTTAATTCATAATAAATATTATTAAAAAAAATTAATTGGCGCATGTGTTGTATATGGTTGGATGTGGATTATGTCATGATCTTCATATGACATGTGTGGTATCATTTAATGGTCAAACAATGACTTCTAATTCAATATTCAAATCATCATAGCGGCCTCTTAATCATTTACCAGCTGTGTTGTTAATAAATTTATGATTTGATATCAATGAATTTTTTTTTCTCACTCTTCACCTTAATTATCATGCTTGGCTCTTTAAATTTTCAAAGCAACCTCTTAATTTATTTTTCCTTCAAATTTAGTTATTGTTCATTGCTAATTTTTTTGTGACTCGTTTGTAAGGGTTTTTTTTTTTCCAATCTCATCCTTTAATATCAAGTTGTCATGGTTGTTTTTTCCATTTTTGTATTCAATCTTTTGGTTTTTATTTTTTTTCTTAACCCTTTTGTGTAATTTTAATTGATTTTTAATTTCATTGTTTAATCTAAATTTATACTATATTATTTTTTAATCTGGTTCTCATTATTTTAAATTTTTTCTTTTTGTTAAAGTTATTTTTCTTTTTAATTTCATCATGCAATAACAAATTTGTAATTGCCTTCTAATTTACTTTTTATTTTTATTTTTATCATTTTATTTTTATTTTTAATTTTTAGTTTTGGATCCTTTTTATAATTGATTTTTTTTTAATTTCATCCTTTAATTTTTAATTTTTTTGTCATATATGGTGTTTTCGGTCAAATGACATAGGTCATAAGCTTGAAAATTTAATGTGAGTTTGCATTTTTTTTTACTTTTTTTATTTCATAGTTTGACACTAGTTTTATTTTAAAAAATAACTTTGTGATTTTCTTTAATTTCTTTTCTATTAGATTATCTCAATTTTATGATTTAAACCGTTGGTTTAGTGGATAAATCTAATTTGACTCATTTTATATTATTTAAATTACATGTCTATCATGCTAACTGGGATTGATTCTGACTTTTACTGGTCTTTATATATATATATATATATATAATTTTATATTTCTTAAGGTTTTTTTCATTATTTTTTTTTATATTTCATTTTGATCCATTTAATATTGTTATCAAATTTTTTATTATCTAATTAAAATAAAATTAATATATTTAACTTAGTTCGGATATAATTCAAGTAATGAATTTTTTTTATTATTTGAAAATTTATTTGCAATACCTAAATATTAGTCCTTATAAAAAAGATAATGAGGCCTAATTGTCCCTAATGCTGAAATCAAGATTAAAATAATTTTATAAGAATGAAGTTAGTCGAAGATACATGTCATATCATTAAAAGGTTAATGATGAAACTTAGACTTATAATTGGATTCGAAATCTCAT